AAGTATATTATCATAGAAAACGGGAAATTTGTATCACAGAAAATGGGAAATAATCTACTTTCCGGGAAAGTTGGTTATCTACTTTCCCGAAAACTAGATTATCTACTTTTCGGGAAAGTAGATTATCGACTTTTTGGGGAAGTAGATTAGCGACTTTTTGAGAAATATTACCTATTTTTCAGACGTAGATTATCATAGAAAACGGGAAATTTGAATAATAGAAAATGGGAAATAATCTACTTTCCGCGAAAGTTGGTTATCCACTTTCCCGAAAAGTAGATTATCTACTTTTCGGGAAAGTACATTATCGACTTTTCGGGGAAGTAGATTATCGACTTTTTGAGAAATATTACCAAATTTTCAGAAGTAGATTATATATAGAAAACGGGAAATTTGAATCACAGAAAATGGGAAATAATCTACTTTCCGGGAAAGTTGGTTATCTACTTTCCCGAAAAGTAGATTATCTACTTTTCGGGAAAGTAGATTATCGAATTTTTCGGGAAGTAAATTATCGACTTTTTGATAAATATTACCTAATTTTTAGAAGTAGATTATCATAGAAAACGGGAAATTTGAATGATAGAAAATGGGAAATAATCTACTTTCCGGGAAAGTTGGTCATCTACTTTCCCGAAAAGTAGATTATCTACTTTTCGGGAAAGTAGATTATCGACTTTTTGGGGAAGTAGATTATCGACTTTTTGATAAATATTACCTAATTTTTAGAAGTAGATTATCATAGAAAACGGGAAATTTGAATGATAGAAAATGGGAAATAATCTACTTTCCGGGAAAGTTGGTCATCTACTTTCCCGAAAAGTAGATTATCTACTTTTCGGGAAAGTAGATTATCGACTTTTCGGGGAAGTAGATTATCGAATTTTTGAGAAATATTACCAAATTTTCAGAAGTAGATTATCATAGAAAACGGGAAATTTGAATCACAGAAAATGGGAAATAATCTACTTTCCGGGAAAGTTGGTCATCTACTTTCCCGAAAAGTAGATTATCTACTTTTCGGGAAAGTAGATTATCGACTTTTTGGGGAAGTAGATTATCGACTTTTTGAGAAATATTACCTATTTTTCAGACGTAGATTATCATAGAAAACGGGAAATTTGAATCACCGAAAATGGGAAATAATCTACTTTCCGGGAAAGTTGGTTATCTACTTTCCCGAAAAGTAGATTATCTACTTTTCGGGAAAGTAGATTATCGACTTTTCGGGGAAGTAGATTATCGACGTTTTGAGAAATATTACCAAATTTTCCGAAGTAGATTATCATAGAAAACGGGAAATTTGAATCATAGAAAATGGGAAATAATCTACTTTCCGGGAAAGTTGGTTATCTACTTATGATAGAAAACGGGAAATTTGAGTTTAAGCAGCAGCTTCGCTTTCTTTGGATATACTGTAAATAAAAGAAGAAAAAAACAAACGATGTTTTTATTTACATGGTTCAATTTTTGTTTAAATGTCTGTTTCTCCTACGTGAAGTCGCCTTTTGTGATCTGGATGTGCCAACAGTTGCCTTAAGTGCGACCTATCCTTGACCAGTGCAAGGCTACCAACCTGGTTGACATGTCTCACATACCTCTTGTACTGCTCAACCAGACTAGCCTCACATAGGCCCTAGCAGACACTTCTGATGGCCTCATCTCGGTCCTGACGACCTCATACAGCCCCTGGTAGCCTCACGAAAGCCTCTACTAGCTCCACGCAGATCCCCTGGCAGATACCATGGTCTTATACAAGCCCCATTGACCTAGTAGCCTCATCCAGCCCGGCAGTGCTACGGAGCCCCCTAAGAGCATCACACAGACCTTAGGAGCAACAGTCAGCCCCCCAGCGTCACAATTAGCTGTATATGACCCTCTCATATACCGAAGTACAAACAATAGCCCCTGTTGACATCACAGTCCTAAAATATTTTATATAACCTATGAACCACACAGCCCCTGGCAGCCTCATATACAACCTGGGGGACTCACACAGCCCCTACCAGTGGCAAACTACCTCAGGTTTTTTTTAACATGTACAACAAATACAAAATAAAAATATAATTACAAAAGTTTGTCCAGAGGAAACATCATTGGTTACAAGCAAGTTGTGAAGATGTAAGAATTACTGAAGAATACAGTAAAATCTTTAACTAGCATCTTATATAGGACAGTGCCAGGAAGAATTAAATATTTTGTTATGCATATGATGACAATTTACAAAATAACTTAAGTTCAACAATATTTTGACATTTTTGAACGAGTCAATACAAGCAGTCTACCCCATTGCAGGTACACAGCAGCGACGTCACCATTACTACTGTACCACAATGATAGAATAGACCACTAGAGCAATGCAGTCTACCTGAGTGATGGGACTGACACCTTTCACTTTACAACGGTTAACATAAACAAAAAATGAATTTAAATACCTGTACAGTATTAGTCACAACTATGACTAATTTAAAGTGAACTAGATCATTCTTCATAAATTCCACACAAATGATTATAACAGTATTACAAAATCTTAACTTCAATAACACACAAGTCTACTTGTATATTTTAAGGTCACTCATATACAAGGCCTTCCTTCTGTCCTACATTTCAGTGAATATCTCACTCTTATACAACACACAAGTTCTTCCCTCATTGCTAAAAATCACCAAGTCGTCCTCTCACTCCTACACATCACAGTGAGACCTTCTCTCACTCCTACACATCACAGAGTCCTTCTCTCACTCCTACACATCACAGAGTCCTTCTCTCACTCCTACACATCACAGTCCTTCTCTCACTCCTACAGTACACATCACAGAGTCCTTCTCTCACTCCTACACATCACAGAGTCCTCCTCTCACTACTACACATCACAGAGTCCTTCTCTCACTTCTACACATCACAGAGTCCTTCCCTCACTCCTACATCACAGAGTCCTTCTCCCCTACACACAGTCCTTCTCTCACCCTACAGACACATCACAGGTCCTCTCTCACCCACACATCACAGAGTCCTCTCTCACTACTACACATCACAAGTCCTTTCACTTCTACAATCACAGAGTCCTTCCTCACCTCACACATTAGAGTGAGGAATGACCATATGACATGGGAGGAAGGCTGGGAGTCTTTTTGCGAGTATTTTGTATTTAAATAATGAGGCGCTGCTATTACCCAAGTAAAGCTAGAAATGCAACAGTTAATAATTCTCTTATTTCGTCTACGGGTGGAATTATAATTTCATGACGTTAGAGATTTGTAAGTTTGCATTTATTTGAAATAGTGAAGGAATGCGTTTCACCTACCAAAAGTAAAGGAATGCCACCCATGCATTCCTATAGCACCACACTGCCTCATTAATTGGTCAGCAAGTCATTCCCTCACTCACTAATAGGTCAATAAGTCTTTCTTCCTGTACATCACTGGAAGTCCTTCAAACAATAGCTTGGTCTTCCCCACCAATGTCTACCGTAGTCAGTAGATAAACTTTCAATACACTTAAATTTTTTAGTATTTATGTAGGTAGACATATTTAATGCAGCAATCAAACAGCGTAACAGTACTACTGCCTGGAAAGATATTGAAAGCACAATGTGTTGTCGAATGGTATATTTTGCCATATGGCATCACAAATATTGAGACCAAGTCCCGGGTTGCCGAATCTGACTTTTCTTATTTACATAAAATTGCAGGACTTTAATTGTTTCTCTTACTTTGACAACACAACATAATTATTGTTTTTTTTTTTTCACCCATCAGGCCCCAACGTAGCCAGTAAGTGGCCATGGAAAACAAAACCAGTCGTGTTGAAGATACACTTATTTAGGGCAGATTCATTTTTTTCTGTAGTCTTGATCTTTTTCTTGTCTATCTTGATTGTGCTGTGTCATCTGGAAGCCAAGTTATTGTTCTCTCATCCTCCCTCTAGTGATATTTATTTCTACCTGTAAAATGAATACAGTATTTCATTAGCCAGTAATATGGTATATTGCAGTGCAAGAATTAAAATCACTTATTCATACACTATTCAATAGTCACACTACCTGGTGGACCAGATGTGCTCTGGTATAAGACTTCATCACCAGCAAGGATGTTCCTTCCTTCACACTTCTAGTACAGCCCCACCCTACCCTTCCATCTCCTCCCCTACCACACTTATCAGTCTTACACATCCCAGTCTCTCAATTTGTCTATTCCATCTGACCATCTATCCAATATTCCACTGCCAATTTCATCACTCACTATATATATTGACACCTTTACCTTTAGCATAAAAACTGCTGTTTCCCAGGATTTGTAGTGTACTGTGAGTAGAGGCAGATGCTTCCCGCTTCTCTCTAAGTAATAGGGAAAAACATTTCGTAAATATATTGCTTGTGATATTTCAAATACCCAAGCCACATTAAGGCCACAAATTACACGCCAATCAGCATACTCAGGAGTACATATACTGATTTTAGAAAATTTTTGGCCAAATACATAAGTCTTATATCTTAGTATGTCCCAAATGTTTCTCTCGGAATTGGAATTTGAGGGTTTAACCAATTAATTAATTCCAGAAGAACACAAAACACCAAAATATCACCTGGGAAACCCATAGTTGCCTCGTAATTAGCATTGAAAAAGTCCAAAAATACTCCGTCTCATTAAGGCCACTAATTACCTCCTATATTTATCATTTTCATACAAATTTCCGCTTTCTAAGATAATCTACGTCTGAAAATTAGGTAACATTAATAAAGTCCATAATCTACTTCAAAAGTCGATTTTTAAAGTAGAACTTTTCGAAAGAACTAACAACTTTCCCGGAAAGTAGATTATTTCCCATTTTCTATGATGCAAATTTCCGTTTTCTATGATAATTTACTTCTGAAAATTAGGTATATTTCAAG